CTTCTAACCAGTTTCACGTTCTTGGTTGTCACTTCCCTGCAGTGCTGAGGCCACTGCAGCTGCCAAAACATGGCACGAGACCTGAATTTCCACACAAGAGCCAAGCTGGATCTGCATCCTCATTATATCCCAAAAGAAGTGAAGCTGCACTTCACTCTCCCCTTTATCTCTTAGACATAAAATGAGTTTCCAATGTCATTGTTAGCAGATTCCATTGCAGAGCTCCCAATTCTCTTGGTAAATAATGTGTAGACAAACTGACAAAACTGTCCTTGGAAGTTTTTTCTCGGTTGTTTTTTTATGCCATGTGATACAGAACAACTTAATTTTATCAGAAAAGAAAAATGAAACAGAAAACAAACAAACAAACAAAAAAAACCCACCAAAAATTTAATGGATTCTGTGCTCAAATAATATTGTTACAACAAAAATATACAGAATGTACACAATACAAAAATATTTGGAGACATCCCATGGCATCTTACCTTGCAGGTATCACTCTCTTTTACAAGCCCTTGGTGGGAAAGTATCATTTGTTCGGTATTTTAAGGCAGAAAATCACTTAGTTTAGTGCTTTGTGTTTAACACTCACGTGTGTTGTCAGCATCAGCAGTGTAAGCAAAAGAAAAGCTGCATAAATCTGGTTTTATTTGCAAACTAAACAGACACTGTGGGGGAGTCAGGAGAGACTCAGTGACAATGTGCCTATTAAGCTCACTGAAAATAAGGGACTTTTGCTACTTCAGTCAGGCCTAGGGAATATTTTGTGCTCTCTGTTGTAAAGTACCCTGAAACATAAATTTCCTGTACTCCTACTGGCATTTCAGAAATACCTCATTAGAAAGCTTTTTCCAATTAAAAGCCAATGATTAATGGTGACATTAAAAATACATTTACCCTTAAACAAGCTTGGTTTCTGTCTTAAGTATGATTTTTTAGAGAGCTGCAAAATGCACTGTTTTCCTTCCTAACCAGCTCTTGGCATCAGTGACTGCAGGAGGGATCTCTGAGTTGTTCCCAGAGCTCTGCAGAGCAGCCACCCCTGTGAGGAACAGCAGAGCAGCAGCACCCAGAGGGGCTGGCCTGGCTGTCCAGGGCCCAGCCTGTCCCCAGGGGTGGCTGCTGTTGAACTGCACCCACATTCTCCAGTTCCACCCCGGGAAAAGCCAGAGGATGGGCTTCCAAAGTAACTGAGTTCCAATCTGTGTAAACAGGCTCTGAGCTCTTTACTCGCTGAAGAATGTGTGAAAGTCCTGCCCACGGGAGATCCTGGAGATGAAATGTTGGCACAGAGCAGCAGCTGCCTCGAGGTGAGCATGGAGAGTCAGGTTAGTGCCAGCTCTGCAGTCTCAGTTCATCCTTCCTAGCCCAGCTCAAACTGAAACGGTCTAATCTGATCTCAAACACACGGGCAGGGTAACCCAGCGGAAGGAGCGAGGTCTTGGGATGCAGAATCCTGAGCTTTATTCCTAGTAACAATTTCTCCAGCCTCCCCCTTCCCTGTTGATAACATACTTCCCACTGCCAAAGGAGCAAGTAGTGGAAAATCACAATATGCCACGTAAGTGCTAAGATTCCTCCTCGACTGACGGGGGATCAGTGACACGAGATGTTGTTTTAACAACTCTGCAAAAGTAAATTCATCAGCAAATCTGTGGCTCTGCTACACCTCACTCAGAGACTGCTCCTGGTAACCTACCTCCTCTCCCATCCCTGCATTACAACTCTCTCCCTCCTCCTTCCTCTGTTTAAAATTAATCTTTACCTGTTTCCAAGCATGTGGGAACAAAAGGTGCCATTTGGACTTTGATCCACCTGGTTCTCCTCCTTCCTCCTCCTGCTCCTCACGGCTGCCTGAGCCCCTTCCCCCGCCTGTCCTGGGCAGAGGCAGGACCGGATCCTGTGCCGGGGAAGGCAGGACAGGATCCCATCCCAGGGAAGGCAGGACAGGATCCCATCCCGGGGAAGGCAGGACAGGATCCCGTGCCGGGGAAGGCAGGACAGGATCCCATCCCGGGGAAGGCAGGACAGGATCCCGTGCCGGGGAAGGCAGGAGCGCATCCCGTGCTGCCTCGGCGCTGCCGGCAGGTGTCCCTGGAAGCTGCACATCCCGCCCTGCTCCGGGTACCGCACTGCTCCTGCCCCATCCCCGCCGGACCTGCAATGTGCTCTCTGCAAGGCAATCCCTGCACAGAAATGGCTGCTTTTTTTTTTTTTTTTTGGGGGGGGGCGTTGTGTCCTCGCTCAGGGACACAGCACAAAACACCTCCCTCTCAGGTGCCCTGTTCAAACCTGTGGGTGGGTGACAGTTCCTCTGCTCCGGCACTGCACAGCCAGGAGGGTCAGTAAACTCCCAGTTTATGCGACTGATGTGAAATCCTGGCAGCAGCTGAAATAAACCCATAACAACCACCAAAGCCAGTCTCTCAGTGGACACTCCTTCAGGAACACGTTGCTGACTGGGACAAGCTGGAACTACCAATGAGCAGGATGGGGAATGTTCCAGCTCTGACACGAGCCAGCAGCTCCAAGGACATCTGGAGGTAACAGGAAAACCTGGCTGCTCCCAGCTCTGTGGCACTCCTGGCTGTGTTAGAAAACAACACAACCAGAACTCACAGTGCTCTGGAGAAACATAACAAGTTTTCACACTGTAATTTTAGTGATTAAAAACAAGAATTATAAAAGCTTAAGCACTTGGTGCTGCTCCTGACTCCGTGGGTTGATCGATTCTTAGCAGACAACCTGTTCCATGTGTGGGGGGAGGAATGTGAGAGGGTTTCGTTGCTTCACTCCCAGTAAATCCGGTACTGCTCTAAAGTCTGGCCTTTCTGGTCACCAGGGCTGTTTGCAGACTTGCTCAGGCAGGGTATGGGGACACAGAATGGAAGTCAGGGAGATGAACAACAGTTTAAAAGAACAAGTCATAAGCTCAACCTCAGAGCTGTTTCCAACCAGCTGTTTCCAATGTGAACTCCATTAATCCATGGATAAAGGACCAGAGAGGGGTGTCTGCATCACTCTGTTCAGCTCCTCCCCACTCCTGAGCAGACCAAAGGCATGTTGGCCGCAGGCAGGTTGATGAAGACACTGGTGGCTCTTGAACCTGTACCTTGCTGCTTCACCCCAGAGCACACACTGCAGGCACAGAAACCTCCCCTGGGGAGACACTGATGGGCACTAAGCAGCTTTCAGCCGAGAAACCAAAATTAAAAATCAGCTGGTGCATATTGTACTCTGGTAAACTATTGGCAAAACAGTATGGAGGGTTTTTCTTTTCGAACTGAAATTATCTACCAACATTTTGGAAGTTTTCCTAAAACTTCAGGGGAACTCCCATTCCTGGTCACCTCTGCTTAAAGGCATCTGTAATGAGAAAGGCTTGGCAACAGGTGAGGGAAGGAATGACTCTCCTGGGGGAGCAGAACTTCACCCCTCAAACCAGAGCTATTTTTCCCACAGGAGGCGAAGAAGGGGGCAGGGGAGAAGCACTTGTGAATGTCCCCTCTGGAAGGACAGACTCCTACCAGCTCATGGGATCAAATGGCAGCACAGACAACACAGCTGGGAGAATAAAGCCCACAAGAGGGACGTTTTGCCACACAACTTCCCCAGGGCCTGTGAGATGTGCTGTGGAAGGCTCAGGGGGCTGTGCCTGGGCACCAGCAGGGAAAGGGGACAAAGGGAAAGAGGAGCTTGTCTGGAGAGACTCTTCTGGCTGCTTTATCCAGCCCATCCAGTGGGTGGGTAAAGGGGAGAGAATAGGAGGGCACCCCCACTCCTGGGCTGTGGTTTGGCAGCTCTCTAAAGTGACAAGCAGATTAAGCACCTTACAGACAGGAGCACCTACAGGCACTGCTCGTGCCACAGATGGTCCCCTGTGGTCCCCAGGGCCCTGCAGGAACTGTGTGCACTGTGCCACAGCCCAGGGACACTGCTGGGCCTGGCCTTGGCCAACAGCAAAGAAAAAGGCATCACTGCAACCCCCTCTTGTTTGGAGCTCCTCAACAGCCACGGCCTCAGGGAGAGGCACCCTCAAAATGCAGCAGTCACCTTGAAACCAGTTCTATCTGTTGGACAGTGATCACTGTAGCACCACAACACCATTTCCACTCCTGTGGGAAACCAGTGCTGCACACAACCTGACTGAACTTCACTGATTCCAGTGGGCCTGGCCCCAAACTGACCCAATGGATGGCTGTAAAGACTGGACAGTTCCCCCCCTGGGCTGCTAGAGGTGATCCTGGGCCCACTTTTCCAGGAAGAACCTGCTGGAATCGTTGAGATCCTAGCTAGGAGAGCTCACTGCAAGGCCAGGTGTTAGGTCAGCATGGCCAGAAACAAAGTGAGAAAAGAACAGCACCTGATTGTCCTCTGATAAACCCACAAATGAACATTTGCCCTCCTTTTCTTCATCTCTCAAAAAAGAAACCCCAGCCACACCCTCTTGCCACAGTAGGCTGGGGAGGGGGGACTAATTAATTAAAATCAAGTGAAACATGCACAGCAGAAGTCACCTCTGGCTGGGTGTCCGCAACACTCTAAGATTCCCAACGTTTGTAGTGCAATTTCATTTGACCTGCAGTTGAAGCCCAGTCTCCATCACTTTGTGTGAGCAAGTTCTGCTGATTCCTCTGAAAGCTGTGCAAGACAAGTTTCCCCACAGGCTGAAATACCTTCAGAACCATTCAAGTAATCAGACAGTGGCCCTGGTATGGCTGGACAGTCAGATGTGGCCATGGAGACCAGGCTCAAGCTGCCCTGTGAGTACCACGTGAGTCTCTAATTAGCAAATGTCTGCTCTTTTTCCCTTTTAGTGCCCAGCAACACTGAGGAGATTCACTCTGCAATTGGCCCCGATTGCAGCACTGACCTGGAAAATACAGATACCTCCTGCAGAAGGTTGCTGTGTGCCAACAGCCCGGGCAGGGAGTGCCCAGGGCAGGGCACAGACTGCAGGGCACGGCCAGCCAGGACTGCAGAACCCACTGGATTTCTTTCACGAGATCCTTAAGCACCTCCTCCGAGCACACACTTGTGTTGAGAAGAATCATCCTCCCCTAAGTTAAACACAAAAATAGATCCTCCATCTCCATTCATGCCACGCAGCTGACAGATGATTTCCGCTCTCCAGTTGTCTGTCCCGTGCTTTCAGGGAGGGGGAGGTAGCTTTAGATCCAGCAGGCTGTAGGCAAAAATGTTCCAGAAGATGGCAAACAAGACAAAAATGACATAAATAGAAAGGAAGATCCACCACAAAGTCTGATCTTGGAGTCTCTGCTCATAGTTCCTGAGGATGACGACTCCCAGGGTGATGCCCACCATGACCCCTCCCAGGTGGGCCATGAAGCTGGGGTGGGGGCAGGGCGGGTACGCCGAGGGGTGGAACCGCAGCCACACGGCTCTCCCGAACTCAAAGCTCACTGCAACAGAGAAGGAGAGATCAGGTCACTGCCTGTCCCTCCCTGAGTCCATCTGGCAGGCAGCTCTGCACCCCTACAGAGACAGAGAGGGGGAATTGCCTGGCAGGGTGAGCTCAGGGAAGCCCCAGCTGGGGCAGGGCTGTGCTGCACAGACACGAGGTGTCCCCAGGGCTCGGGGAGTGGGAGTGTAGATAGGTGGGGGGATATTCACCTCCCAAAATTTATACCAAAACCATTAAAAAAACCTAGTTGGAATTTGAAGACAGCTGTCTGTGATGCTCACATGGCTTAGTTTCCCTTATTGTGCCACCCTGGGGATGTGGCTGGAAGATAATTCACTGGTGTGTGGATAATGCTGCTGCCACCCCAGACAGGAGGTGCTCCAAGAACCCCAAATATCCTCATTACCAAAGCATTGCTCATTTCAGCCATCCCAGGAGAAGGTGTTTAAGTCCCACATCCCCACAAAAACCGCGGGCTGGCTCATGACAAACCCTCATTCACAAACCCCTGTGTGGACAGCCCAAACCTGCTGCAAAGTCAACCCCCCCTGAGTCATCAGGAGCTGTTGTGACCAGGACTGGCAGAGCAGGACCCCCAGGGCTGTGTGGTACTCACTGCAGATGAGGGCGACAGCCATCCTCAGCAGCTTGAACTGGCACTTCATCCCCGACCAGTTCTAGAGGAGACACAAGGGAAACAGAGGGAGCTGCACCCACACCTGGCTGGGACACTGGGATCTGTTCCCTGCACCCACCACTCCACACACACGCCTGTCAGTCCCACAGCCCGTGGCCACACAGGATACATGAGGTGCTGCAGCTCAGCCTTCAGCTGAGCATACAGAAAGGATAAAGCCCTCGGAAAAAGTGCCATAAGAAAGCCTGGGTTCAGCCTCCTCTGGCTTCAGGTTTGGTCATTAATCAGTACAGTGGAAGAAGGATCTCTGAATGATAATCAGAAATCACGGGAGAAATATTTAAATTCCTCCTTTCTCGCTTGCACAAAATTTTCAGGCAGAAAAAGAGATCATATTCTGGGAAGCTCAGAAGTATGACTACACCATTATTATTATTCAGTGACTAAATGAAATTTCTCCCATTGAAAGCAGTCTGAGATACCAAGGTAGTCAGGTCTCTTGTGAAAACCTCCCTGTTCATCACACTGAAGGAATAATAATAAAAAAAAAAGCTTGTAAACTCTTCAGCCTCACTTTAATGGCACCCAGTGACTCCTCAGCCTGCTGAAGAAATATTCTGCAATATGTATTACATATATTCAAGTTTGTTGTGGGATCTGTCTGTAAATCACTTCTGGGGCTGCAAAAATGCAATCTCTACAAAATGAGTAACTCATTTTCTCTCTCTACAGAGGTACCCAACCCAGTCAGAAAGCTCTGAGCTTGCACTGATTGATACTGTGCTGCTTCCTCAGTTTTCATCTCCATGTAGCTGCCCTGAATTCCTCCCCTCCCTCTTTCCCTTGGGGTGACATGTTTTATTGCTTCCCCCTGTTGGTTAGTTTGTGTATTTAATTCCAGTAATATTTTTTTTTTTTAACAAGCAGGAATGTTCCCATTTCCTCTCACTATCAGGAGGCTCAGGGGAACAGGGGGGTCAGGAGACCCTCCCTGGAGCAGCCCCTCCTGTCCCAGCCCCCAAAGCACCTGTGCCAGCAAACAGCCAGTCAGCATCACATCTAGACAAGAAGGGAGAAAAGACAGAGGAGAGGGGGAAAGGAAAGCACAAAAAAACCACCAAAACTCTCCACCGGAACTGGAAAGGCAGTGAAAGTGATTTCAGATGATAAGAGAGGCAGTGGATAGCAGGGAAATACAGATGCTAAGGTTGCAATGGCTAAATAAAAAATAAACTTGGAGGAGGCTGATGGGCAGTGAAACGACAGACCACTTTGTGGTGTTAGAAGAAGTCTGGGGAGGTAACTGCTGCAGACTCTCCACGTACCTCTGGCACAGCCTCTTGCTGTAAAGCAACCCCAAATTCCCTCCAGTGTCCCAGTGTGATCCTGTGAATCGTGGTGTTAAAACCCCCGTGTCTGCATTCCCAACCTGGGAGGCAGAGGCAGCCCCCTCCTGCTTCTGCTGGCACAGTGGCAGGGAGCACAAATCAGACTGAAAATAACTGCATCTAAGGAGGCAATTTCCTAGCAGAAACCCTGGGGCACAGGGCAGCCCCTGCCCTCCACTCCCTGCCTCTGCCAGCCCTCAGGTGTCCCGGTTTGGACACCAGCCCCAGCTCATTCATGCTCTGAAAAGCTTGAAGAAGGCAAAGGAGAGCAGTTGTGCTCAGGAAATCACTCATTTCCCTGCTTCCAGCTGCTCCACAGCCTGTCTGCAGCAGCACCATTGTGGGGCCCAGCTGGAGCACAAGCTTTCAGCACAAGGTTTCCTTTTAGGCCTGACTCCAGGACCACCACCCACTCCTCTGTTTGCAGCACCCACACAACAGACCTTCTGTCCCTGCTGCAGCCAAACCACGTTACCTTCCCTCTCAGAGCCAGGGGAGGAGGATTATCATCGTTTTTGTGGTTATTCTGCTCTGGCATTGCTGGTGCAGGACAGACATGCACCCCTGTGCCACCACACACAGTCCCCTCTCAGCAAAGCCCTTTGTGCCAGGGGGAGCTGAGGAGCCCCCCAGGCTCTGCCACCACCTGGTGAGGGCTGGGGATGAGCTCCTGCTTCCAGCTTTGGAGGAACAGTGCTGCTGCTGTTTACTGACCTTTGGGAAGTATTTCACGAGGCATCACTGGATCCCTCAGGGTTCAGCTCCAGTCTGGGTTTACAGATGGAGGGTAAGGGACATTCTGCACACGAGTGCACTGAGCACCACATTTCCTCAGACACCCACTCCAATGACATGGCACATGCAGACAGAAACACATCTGCACCTTCTGCAGAGCCAGGCAGCTCCTTCTTCCCAAACACCTGGCAGCCCTTGCAAGGAGAGCTGACAGCCTGGAGAGCACTGCTAAGTCTTGGATTACCAGCACCTTTGGCTTCTCCTGGCGAGCTGCCAACCCTCAGGGTACCGAACCACCAGCTCCACTGTCACATTCCCATTCCAGGAGCACACCACTGAGACAAGACCGAACTGGGACAAGCTCTGAACGACCAACAGCTGGGCCAGGCCTGATTTCCAAGCTGTTTTAGCTCACTTTGGAGAGGTCAGACAGTCCTTCTGGTACTCACCATCACTATATTGGCCAAGTGAGCGGAGACAAGAGCATACACACCTCCAGAGGAGCCCACCACCGGCGCCCTCATGTCAGCCACCGACACTGCCAGCGACCCTGCGGGAAGAACCAGCCTTTGGGACAACTACCAGCCAAAAAAACACCCCCTCTCCTCCCCCACGTGCCTGCCACTGCCTGGCTGTGCTAATTGCTGCAGGTCAGTAATGGAGAAAGAGAAGGAGGGGGGATCGATCGGCTTGTGGAGCCACCTCAGTCCTGTAGAGCTGCCAGGACAGTGAGGGATTGATTCCTCTGCACCTACTTTAAAAGCAGCCAAGCAAGGCAGCAAAGTATCTTTAAACCCGTGCTGCACAAAGGCATTTATACCCTGATTGGAATAACAAGGAAGCAGGGGACAGACAAATGTCCGTGCCCTGTCTCTCACCTGAAGATAAAATAGAAGGAGCTCCCATGGTGGCAAGACAAATATTTGCACAGGGAGAAGGAACTCGGGACTTGTAACTCAGCACAGGCCTCTGATCAACAAGCACAGCTTGTTACTTGTGAAACTGCAGAGTAAAACCAGCTAAAAATAACCTGGATGGGGGCAGCAGACACATGACAGCACAGTGACAGGTCAGGCACATAAAGCACCACTGGTAACAGTGCACCCAAACACAGACACTGCTCCTCCTTAGCCCAGCTGGGGGCTTGGATCTGCTCAAAGCTCCTTTCATTGCCAAATTTAAGAGCAATTTCAGAGCCAGAGAGACAAAGGCAGATGTGGTGTCACAAGGCAGGGATAATGAAGATCTTTTTGATGAGCAGGAAGGGGAAAAAGACACTTTGGCAAATCTCGAGGGAGTCCTTGGCAGGCCATAATCTAACGAACTTCTTTGCTAATTGCTCAGCTGATTGTGGGTCAAGAAAGTGCAGAGGTTCCACCAGCCAACTGTGCTGACAGCTCCCTCCTTCCCTGTATGGCCCTGAGACCCCTCAGCCCTTCAGCACTGCCATTAAGGGCAATGTTAATGAGCAATGGCCTAGTCCAATTACTCTTTCCACAGTCTCTCTCCTGGAATGTAGGATTTATTAGCACCCAACACAGACCATCTTACAAAGGCTTTATCTGCTCATTACGGAAAAAAAAATAATTACACAGCTGGGAAAAAACACCCAACCAAACCCCATAAATCTGGAACTGAGGCACTCAGTCATCGTCTGAGCTCCGCTGTGAAGCTTCTGGTTGTTCTCACACCCTCCTCCTGTTTTAATTAGATGTTGATCTATTGTCAGCTAACTTCCATCACCCCCAAACTGCTGGAAATTCCAAACATAAATAAAAGCAATACGGCACAAGCCGAAAATCAATCAAAGCCCGTGATTGATTAAATGAATTTTCCAGATTCCTGTGCATTGCTCACAACCTACAACCAAACACTTCCTGCTTACTCAGGCTGTGGAAAGCTGCCAGGACAAATGGAGGCAGACCTGGCACGGGACCAGCATCACCTCCACCCTCAGCAAGACCCTCTAAAATAGGGCTGTGTTAAAGCAGCAGGTTGTTGGTGCTTGTTTAGGAGTCTCCTAAACCTGGCTGGATAGAAATCCAACTGTGCCGCATTTCCCACCCCAGCCCCCAGAAGGATTCCAGTGCACAGATCATCAGTGACTGCTCTTCTCCTGACCCCAAATGCCAGGAAACATTTCTCCTGCACAGAAGTCAGCACAGGTTGTTTTCAGCTGCTTCTCCCCCCGGGGCACCCCGAGGTGTCACCCACCTGCCACAACTCCCGCCACGTACACGAAGCTGATCCTGGCGGCCCCGTGCACCATTTCCAGGGGAACCCCGACCAACAGCTGCAGCACAACATTGAGGCCAAGGTGTTCTATCCTGCAGCAAGGAAAAACAACAGCTGTCCTCTCTTCCCGCTCCTTGGCTACCCTTGAGGCAGAGGCATCTTGGAAAGAACAAGTCAAACAGCACCTGCTTCATGTAGGGAGATTGTAACGCTGGGAAAGACAAAGGTTCCTGAAAAAATCAGGCCCAGAGATGGGATGTTTCTTCCCCCCTTGCTGCTTTTATCTTTGTCACATCCACCAGGTCCTTTCAGCCAAAGACCTCAGAGAATGTTTGGTTCTTAGTTAGATTTTTCCCCTCTCTTTTTTCTTTGTTTGAAGGAGTTAAATGACTTGTCAAAAAAAAAGCAGCAAGATGGCAGCAGAGCCTGGAACAGGAGGCAGAAATTTGACCTGCTCTTCTCTTCTCCCCTCTTTTCCCTGCACATCACAGAGCCATGGTGGGGAGGGGGTGTTGAGTCTGGAAGTTCCAAGGCAGTTGTACCATAAAGCTGCTTAACAGTGTGTGCTGCCTGGCTCTTTTCTGATTCCATGGGATGTGGGTCAGGATGGGAAGCACAGGACATTCTGAGTGTGACAGCTCAGATGTGCAGCTTGGGTAGAGACTCCAGGGCAGCAGCCTTTGCCTGAGCTGAATCAAGAGATTCAAAGCAAGTTCCTTGTTGCTCTCGTCAATACAACTCAACAAAAGCGCCCTGCCACTTTCCAAAGCTCTGTACAAACATCTTCCATCTGCAGGGTCTCCCAGTGAGGCAACAACAGCACCAGGCCCTGAACAGGGTCCCCAGCACCGAGGTAGTGCCTGAGATGTAGCCTGGTCTCACAGGGCTGTGACATCCCACTGGAGCCAGTTATCCTGCTTTTTGTCTGGAGAGTCCCCGAGTCTGCTAACAAAGCAGGTGGATCTAAATGACACAGTGGTACCTTCACACAGAAGGGTAAGCATCTTTCTGGGGGAAAAGAGAGCAAGGTAACTAATGCTGTGAAAGCCTACATCCCATTTTGCACAAGGAAAGGGTTGCTCACAGGCAGCCACCAGCACTCTTTGGTTTGAGTTCTATGCATTTCCACTGTTTTGGTCTTTTTTTCGTGTTACCATAGCAATTTCCCATATACATGAGGGAAAAACACTGCTGGTGAGATGCAGTAATGACAGAACACTCTCATAAATGAGAATTTAAAGTGGGACCGGAAAAAACTGCTAGAAATGATACTGCAGGAAACAGTCCTTTCCTGGCATCTTAATGTTTTTGTTTCCACTGAATTTCTCTCCAAAGATAAATTTCTCTCCTGCACAAGGCACTCAGCACTGCAGTTTGTCACCAGGGGAAGCTGCTGCTCTGAACTGAGCTCTTTTATTCCCTTCCTCAAGGCTCGGGGAAGCCACTGGCCATGGTCATGTTCTGGTCACAGAGCTCAGGAATTGCTTCAGGAACAACCAGCAAAGGTCAGACTGAGATCGCAGGGGGCAGTCAGAGCATCCCAGTGCCCTTTGCCAGAGGGGAGGGCAGGAGCCTTGGCTGGCACACAAGGTCCTGAGGTGCCACCTGACGCTCTCACACAAAGCACTGGCTGGGTTTTTCAAAGGAAGCTTTTGTAAGGGCTCAGCAAAGTTCCTCCTGGACTCCAAAGGGACTGCTCTGATTCCCAGCTGTTCCTGAAAGATTTCCCAGGAGCAATGCCATTCGCTTCTCTGCCCCATCATGGTAAGAGCTTTGAAGGCCCCACAGTCAATAAGAACCCATAAAATATAATTACCCTTTGCCAGTGCTGAATGTGTCATTCTTGAAATGACAATTTCATTGATTTATTCAAGACTTTCTCCTTCCCTGGGACCAAACAAATGGGGCTGAGCATCAATGCAAGCCATTAGTTATGGCAGCGATACAAATGTGTGGGCTGCAGATAATCAGCGGCTGCTTTTCATGAAGGTAGAAGGGCAGGATTTACAACTTTGCCTTTTCAGCCTTGGACAAAGCTGCCTCCACCAGGACCAACACACAGCCTGTACATTTTTGGAATCTTTCTAGAGGCACAGCCAGCCAAGCCTTAGCAACTGCTGCCTTCCCCAACACCTTCCGCTGCCGCTGGCTCTTCAAAAAAAACACCCAGTGCACTAAATTAGGGAGCAGTGCCCATTTCCATTTAAAAGTCTCAGCTGGAAGCAGGATAACAATGGAGCCACGGCATTGTGTTATCCTCCCGTTTGGAAACGAGAGGAGAATGATGGGCAGCCACTAAAAACGTTATTACCTTTCCAAGATTTATCTGTTTTCCTCCTGAGAAAGGAGCTTCACACACAGAAGTCAGCACTAAAGGAACATTTAGCTTAACTCCTCACGCTGCAGATAAATCACGGGGTTTATTGTTCCAGGGGGACCCTCCGTTGTTTTTAAGGCTGTGTAGCCAAAGGACTTGGAATCCATCACCACAGGGAGTTCTCTGCTGCTCCACCCTGGGCCAGCCAAGGGGTGACACAACCCTGGGAGTGAGAGGAATGCTGTGCCTGCTCCAGGGAAGGGTGACCTGGCACAGCTCAGGGAAGCAGGACACAAAAAGTGTCCCTGTGCAGGTGCTTCTCTGCAAACAGATCCCAAAGCAAGCTGTGGTGGTGTGAGTGATGCACTAAAACACCACCAGCAACACAAAGCTCCAATACGAATCAACTTTTTCCTGCTCTTCCCTTGAGTGGAGTCTGTTCTGTCCTGTGATTTTTATCCAGAGATTTGGGGCACATCTTGTGCTCCAGGGAAATTACATCCCATGGCAGAGAAGAGACATCAGCATATCTTCCATCAGAAACATGGAAAAAGAAAAAGATCAGCTTGATCTTTCATAGGAGAACATTGACTGATGGGAATTTAGGCTCTCTATTTAAGAACAAAGGGTCCTTATGCAGTTTCAGACTCCAAACTACTGCTAAAAGGCTTGTTGCTGTAATTTTGTCAATGACAGAATTAAAGAAAATTGCAATTATCTGCCAGGAATGTGCAAAGATAATGATCTGAGAAACTGCTCTGAGGGGGTAGAGTGTTTTGTACAGGGATGAACTTTCCTGTGGCACTCACTCATCACCATGGCATCAGAAACATCACACAACTAAGTCTGAATTTTGGGAGGGTTAGAACAGGGATAGGATCCCCATGCCTTGTATTCTTTTCCCAAGTCTGCTACAGACGAATGTAGAGGGAATCATTTTCCTGTGCACCCTTTGCATGTTGCATGAGGTGGCCCTTCCTCTGTCCCTGTGGTCAGGGGATTGTCAGCCCTTTGGGAACACTGGTGTTTGTACTGTGGGTACCCACTGGCAGCTCAGTCTTGGCTTCCAGGCATGACCTCAGTCCCTGCAGGAGGGACATTCCTGAGTGATGACACATCACAGTGGCTTTTCCAACCCCAGCTAGGCAGTCTAGCAAGAACACACCCCTGCAGTGTTTAAATGCCAGTCCAGCATCCTTGCAGATTGTGCTGCCACCTGCCCAGCTCCTTTAGTGGGACCCTGGTGAGTTCTGGTACGAGCTGGTGAGTTCTGGAAGTGGACAGCACGAGGGGGGTGTGGTGCCAGCACTGCTGGGGAGAAGAGCTACACCCCTTAAGTTCCTCATGTTGCCTTCTCCCTTCAGAGAGCTGCGAAGGGGTGCCCTTCATGGCCCAACACTCCACAACAGCTCGGGATTTTTACACACAATTTAGAATTGATTTTTAAAAACTTATTTCTGAGCTGATTCTGTCCCTTCATCCTCCTCCTCCTCCTCCTCCTCCTCCTCCCTGTCCCTGGGGAAGCTGAGTGTGGGGAATCTCCAGCTGGTCAGTACTCACCCTGCATGCATGAATATGTAGGTTAGGTACCTCCAAGCCTGAGCACGGAGCTGGGGATGGTACAGCAGTGCATTCTTCAGGTACAGGGGGTGGCTGACCTGCAGCACAAATCTGTCCAACACCACTCCATTGTAAAGGAAAAAGGCAACCTAGAAGAGCAGAGAGATTCCTTGGTGAGCATACGCCTTTCCTCACTGAAAAGCACTTTGTAGCTCAAAATCATTGAGAAGTAAGTTGCATATACAATAATTCTTCTCTCATTTGACAGCTTCGCACAGCACAAAAGTTCCCTGTTTTGAGGAACCTGCATGGAGATAACTCTATATATGGCCTTCTGTAACACACCAGCCACTGAGTCAGGAACTCAGCACTGACTGATCAGGGCCGTGTTATATCCTCCTCTCTCCAGCACATTCCTCAGCAACTGTGCTGAGATCTCATCTGGGCAACAGATGAGCAGGTCAGAATATTTAACCCAGTTTCTCTCCCCTCCTTTTTCTCTCCATTCACAGAAGAGAGGCAGCCATACAAGAATTTGTCTTCCAACCCCATTAGTAAAATACCAGTTTCCTTGGAAATGCCCAGTTTTCACTCCTCAGGAAGTTTTGCTGTAGTTTCCCAGGTTCTGCAGTGTCACATACAAATGGTTTCTATGACAGTTTCCCAAGGTCTGTCACACACAAACATTTTCAGTGACAGGATCACAGTTCCACTCACACCCCCCCCCCCGACAGTGGCCACAAGCTTTGTGTTTGTCCTGGCCCGGATCTGAACGAGCCCCACTCCAACCCTTGTTTGTGTCCCAGCAGAGCCTCTGGCAGCGTGGGGAGGGTTCCCAGAGGTTTCTGAGGTACTTGCCTCCACAATGGTGATGGTGATCATGAACCAGGGCGGGGGGCAGCAGGTGTAGCTGTCGTAGTACCACTTGCGGTCGATCTCGCGTGGCAGGGTCTCGTAGGCCACGTGGCGGATCAGCCTCTGCGAGAGGCTCAGCCCCGTCTCCTCCAGCAGGGCCTTGCTGCACAGCCTCCTGTTCCCCTGCAGGATGGCCTGGCGGAAGCTGTTCGACCTCTTGTTGCTCATCTGGGGCAAGGAGAGAAGGAAGAAGCCGTGAGGGCAGAGCCAGGCCTGGCACAGCCACCCTGGGGAGAACCAGCGGGTTTGGCAGCAGAGGCACCACCGGGTTAAGCTTTGTGGCCGAGCCCCAGGATCACCACAGGGGGGAAAATAATACCAGGGGCTGCCATGATGATGCCAATAAATGAGGTCAGGGCACAACAGAGGCTGCTGATGCACCTGGCTGAGCTCCCTGGCCTGTTCTCCAGCCTTCCATCCACTGCCTTCACCATCAGTTATCGCCATCCACGTTCCTGTGTCCCCCTTCCCTGCTCAGTCTCACTCCCCTGCACCTGTCGTCTCTTGGGGCAGAAAGTTTCTCCAGTGTAGCAGCAGGTACATTCCCAGCACCTCTAAACCTTGTGGCAGGAGTTGGATCTGGGCAAAGAAAATCATCTCTTTGTGCAGAACAAAACTGCACAAGCAACAGCAAGAGAACATCAAGTTACACGTGTGTACAGGCTGACTTAGCTCCTGTAAGCCTGGAAGTCCTTACAAGGCTTCTTTTAAAAAAGTTATCTTCAGAGGGGACAGGTTCTGAGATGGAGCAGGCTCACAGCTCATTTCTACATGCATTATCACCTTACATGCAGAGATTTAGCTGCCTATCTTTTTGAGCACACACTTGCCCAATTTGGATGCATAATTAAAGCAATTGCATTTGCAAATGAGGCAGATGGAATTTTACGCCGAGCCTGCTGGGGGCGGGGGAACAAACCAGGTCTGAAAGAGCTTGCTCCAAGATTTGGATAATTGCTAATTAGCCCTGATGTCAAACAAACCTCCTGCAATAGAGTCACTGTCTGCACTGGCTCAATCTTTGGCAGGAGGCTCCAAGGCCTTGCTGTGCACACAGAGCACTGCAGAGGGACCTTTTACAGCAAACAGGCAGCAAAGCAAACATGACAGCCTGGTCCTTCTTCTGAGAGGACTGCTAAACGCTCCCAGCAGCATCTGCAGCCTCCCAGAACGGAGGAAGAGATGCCACTCAACACCACTGGCCCCCAGTTGTCTTGGATCACGCTGGTTCCGGCTGATATCCCAGAGCCAGCAAAGCCCAGTGCCCAGTCAGATGGGGAATTGCTCCAAGCTGGACCAAGCTGCTTAAAACACAATAATCACTGCAGGGAACCACCTCCTGTTAATCACTGCAGGAAGGTCAGGGGCCATCTGAGGTGATGGCTCTGCACCCACTCTCCCAGCGCCTTCCCAGCCCTCCTCAGCCTTCAGATTGCAGCCTGTCCCTCCAGCACACAGGAACACTGACAGGCAACTGATGTTCTTCAGTTTCTAAAAACTTGGGAAAAATTTGTAGTTGTTGCTGTTCCCTGTGAGTTCTTTCAGTGAAACGATGGTTTACCCTAATGCCTCTCTCCTTTTTGGTATTTCTCTTTTCTCCGTCTTCGCTCCTTCAGAAAACAGTTGTAAAACAACATTATTTCTGGCAAAAGCAGCAGAAAAGGCAAAGAAGGGAAAAAAAGGTCCAAAAAGATCTTTCTTTCAGTCTTCTCGAGTCTATCACCCAAAAGCTTTTATTTAAAACTGGGGAAGCTGGGGGGGGAATTTTTTTGGTGACCTCCTGTCGCATTAATAAAGCCCATTTCTATCAAAAGCCATTATTGTCATAGAGAAACATCCTGCAGGTATGAGGCTTTCCTTAGGATGTGTGAGGTAACAGATGTACCTCTGTTTCAAAGGAACCTTCAGCCACCTGGTGACCTCTGCAGAAGAAATCTTCACTCCAGGTTAGCTCAGAGCCCTCCTATGAGTGTTCCCTCAGTCTGTTCTCTCTGCCTTTGCTGCTCTTGTGGACAAGAATAAATCCAGACTGAAACTACAGACTGGCCTGAAGATACCAGACAGTTGACTGAAGCTGCTGATTTGCTTATTCTAATTACAGTGCTATGTGTGATTTCCTGCCTTCTCCCAAACAGTCAGAGCTTTTCCCTGCTGCAGCATTCAGTGGGAAATAGGATTGTTCCCAGAGCCAAGGAAAATCACAGCTGCAGTTCAGCATGCAGAAGTGCTGACCACCCTCAGCAGATCATCCCTACAGACTGCCAAGAGAGATGGGCAGGAACTGCAAAGGCTGCTGATGTTCATGTCTGTGCTGAGCTCTTAGGAACAATTTCCTTGTGTCTGTTGAGCAAAGGATCCAACACAGACGCTGCTGAACCCTCTGTTACTGCTGAGCAGAACTGCCAGGGCTCAAGGAAACCCCACAGTCCTGGCACTCACAGAACCCCCCAGGCCTTTGGGTCAGGTGAGGAGATGGGCATGAGCAGAGACAAGAGGATTAAGTCACTGCTGCTGCTCTCACCAACTCTTAATGAGAAGCCTGTTTTGTTCCTCAGACTGACTTTGGAAGGCTCAAGTCTTCCCAAACAGAGTCTCACATATGGTCACAATTTGCTGACTTGATTTTGGAGTTACATAATATTGGTATTTATGAGCCAAGTATTTAATCATCAGCTGAAAGAACACTGGGCCCACTGTCGGCTTGCACACTGCTGCAGCTCCAGAACCCATGGCACCACATCCCACTCCTCCTCATGCAACTGGTCTGTGACTCCTGTAATGAGTGTGATATCAAAGCTGCAAGCAGATGGGCACAGCCATCTGGGTGTGGAGAGTGAAGGGAGCAGTGGGGAAACAACATTCCCTCAGTCCCTCAGGCCTGTAGAGAGAAAGAAATTTCCCTTGCAGAACAGCCCAGCTGACCTTCCTGTCACCCAGGAGCTGCCACCTCTGCCCTCTGGCATTACCATCTCCAAACAAAGCCAGGCTTGGTGCTCCAGCTCCCCTCAAAGGCTGGGTTTGGGACCTCTGTCCCAAAGGAAAATATTTTCCTACATAGACCTGACTCTGTCTTCAACACTGAAAACATCAAAACTCAGGAAGAGCCCTCGCTGTCTAATCTGGGACAGTGCCAAACTCTGGGAAAGTGAAAGTCTTGAAGTGGGCTGGGCTGATGTGCAGCCTGCAATGGGAGCTGTCCATCCCTCCAGCAGCCCAGCTCCTCTGTGCTCCCTGTACTGCTGGGGCTCCCTCAGGCAGTCAGGTGGCATTTCCCCATCTCCACTCTCACAGGGTGTGTGGGGCACAGGACCCTTTCATGGTTTTTTCCAGCCTGGCTCAGGAGGTTTTGGAAGACGTGGATTTCTGCCCATTAAGTGTTGGCACCTCTGAGGCTGCTCTGGGGCTCTTTTTAAACACACCCAGCTCTGGGACAGGCCTGGCACCCAGCTCTGATCCTCCAAGACAGACAACACTAAATCAAAAGTTAGCACAAGCTATTTTATAAAAGCCTCTGCCAGCTCCAGTTTTATAACCCACTTTACTTCCAAATGCAACCTCTGCAATCAATTTTGCTTTCAAGATTCACATTTATTTCCTTCCCTCGCTCCACATTTCTACAAAATGCTAATGTGGGCAGAGCTGGCTTTTCCCAAAGCTCGTAGCTCAGCATCAAGTTCATCTGTCACAGATGTTCACATCCTCTGAGTCAACCTGGTGGCACTTTCCCAAACAGGATCAACTGGGAAAAAAGCAAATACCAACATCCTGATTTGGTCTGACCAAGCAGTGGTTACTCAAAGAAAAAGAGGCACGAGAGACCAAATAAATTATCCTGCTCATTGCAGGGGTCTTCTCTGCTCAAGGTTCTGCCTGTTAAACGTGCCAGGCTTAGACCCCCCAGCACTCCCAAGAGAAAAGGTAAACCACTCTCAGATTCCAAGGGTAGCTGCTTGCAGGACAAGACCAACACTGAGCTCCAAACAACGCTGTGTCAGAACACAGCAAGTTTGAAACTTCAAACCCTCAATACCTGTTCCACTTCCCATGGGTGCTGGGAAGGATTCCACAACTGAGATTCATCCAGATCAATTTTCTGAAGCAGTTTTTTTTTTAAAAAAAAGATATCTTTATAACATTTCCCACCACGTGTGTATTTTAGGTATGTACACAGTGAAAACTCCCATTTAAGCTGACATTGCACTTCTCTGGTTTCCAATGTATGTGACTGAAAACAGCTGAGGAATCATGGCTAGGGATGGAAATTTCTGTGCTAAGTTTCACTTTAATTGGCATCACGATTGTTTGCCAGACTAGTTTACTTGGAAGAAAGTCCTCTCCTCTGCTGCTACTTTTAGCCAGTACCTAATGGACTTAAGGTTAATCATCCTTGAATGGAGAGCACCTTAAAATACCTTCCTGTGCTGCATTACAGACTCTCAGAAGTCTAGGGAGGTGTTAAAACTAGAGTGGGAATTCATTGTTTTGCTGTATTTTTTCTTTAGGATGAGACTTGATGCACAAAGTGCAAGTCAAAGCCTCCAGCTCGTTTCCCACTTATTCCAGGATCCACTTCGGACTCATCGCTTTTGTTTGTGGCCTGTAACACAATCCCAAAGTATTTTATCCCTTCCTGCTCTTCTCTTCAAACACCTACACAGATCCCCAGGGCGAGAGAAGTGGTTGCCCAGAGTCTCACGGTGTGTGCTCGTGGGTGAAGTGCAAAGGCAAACCCAGCAGAGAGGCACGAGATGCCTCCACCTGCACAGGAAACACTTCTGTCACTCTGCAGTGTCTCACACACAGGACAAGAAGCCCCGTCTGAAAGTGCTTTGTGCTGTTCTTGCAAGCCCCAGTGCAGAAACAGAAAGGGGTATGATTGCAGCATTGTGTTTTACAGCACCACAAGATGAATTTCATACATACAGAGGAGCAGGAATTTCCAGTGAGTTGCTTATCTGATTTTTTTCAGCCTTCTCTGTTTGCAGATCACACCAGGAGCCTTCAGCTTCCCTGAATTTATTCATTACTCAATTTATTTCCTGAGTGATTTCCAGGGTCTGTTCTCATATTGTAAACCTTTCAATTTCAGAAATGTAAGTTGTTTGGCTGAGCTGAGAACAGGCCCGTGTGTGGATGTCCTTATTAAGGTCAGGAGTCCTATAATGGCATTTTTGGTGCATCTGGAAGTTCACAAAGCATTCTGACATGAGGGGAGAACACAGCTTTGCTCAGTAACAGCTCTTTAGCTGGGGATCACAGTGTTTGAGGGAGTAGGCAGAGCTCTTGGTGCTCATGATGATGCTGGAGAAAAGGAATCACACACACACAGGGTGTGAAGCGAAGGAAATCCCGAATTCTACAGGGATTCTGGGTCAACTGTGCTGTTTCTTTCCATCAGGAAGTTCAAAAGGCAGGGAAAAGAGAAGGAGCCCTAATAAAGTTTGGATGTTGGGAATCAATAGAAAGTAGAGGAGAAGTGAGATGTCATTTGTAAGTAGTTTAATGCTCTGGCATTTGCATTGCTTATTGATTGGAAAGTGCAAAAAAAAAATGCAGACAAGGATGGAGGGGCTGAGGACAGGAAAATCAATGACTTCTTTACAGAGTCATTCAGTAGCAGTGAAGGAAATTTGCCTTTTGCAGCAATCCCCTCAGCTGGGTGTGAGCTGGCAGGATCCCCTATTCCCAAGGGAGGAGGGTGTCCAAGAGTTTCACTCCCACCTGCCTCTCATCCTCGTGCTGCTCCTGAGCCCAGGGGAGCGAGGAGAGAGGAAAAGGCCCAGTTCTGCTCCTGGTGCCAACGTGTGGGCTGGCCCTGGGCCACCATTTCTGGACAAGAAATGAGATGACACCTCATCCTGCTACCCAAGTGCTGTGCAGCCCAAGCAGTGAATGTCTGCACGGGACTTTGAATATCCCAAACTGTAGAACAGCAGCTGTTGCTGGAAATACACTGCTCATGGCCCACACTGTTGGTTGTGCTGGAGCTGAGGACAACCCCACACTGCTGGGCTCTCTGTAACATTTCTTTCAGTGTGTCCCCAGGCCAAGACAGCCTGGTGGGACACAGCAGGTCTGGGACTGCATCACAGTAATGTCACCTTGACAGTGCCCGTGGCCTGACAGAGGCTGTGACCTGGATCCTTCGGTGCTGGGCCCTGTAATCACACTGCTCTGATCAATGTGAACTCAGGACATACAGAAGACACTTTCCTTCTAAACCCAAAGCACATGCATGAGTGACCAGGACAAATGACCACCCTCTGCATCCAGAACACATCCAGCTTTCCAGGGAAACCTCAGAGACATTACCTTCCACTGCTCAGTGACTTTGTCTCACCCAGCTTTATCTCTCTGCTGCTCTACAGCTGCTGGCACTCAGGTGTGCAAAGGCAAAGCCCCTGACTGGCCACTGCTCTTGCAAACAACATTTCTAGGCCATTCTGGACACCTGACAACACATGTCTGCATTTGTATTGACTCATCAAACTGCCCTGACGAGAAACAGAGCCATCCCTTCACTAATTGACTCATTAGTAGAGATAGAGAGGCATCCAGATCATGAGTCATGCAGCCTGAGACGGCTCACCTGGGATAAAATGAACGTGACCTAGAAATAATTCCTCCCTGCTGTTGATGCCTAGAGCAGTGCAATATGACTCCACCCAGCATGTCAACACAACGTTATCTATACATTTTTGTCTGTAAGTGGTGAAATTTCTAGATAAAACAGGAGACACCCAGACTGAGAGACTCTTGCAAACAAATGGCTCCTTGTTGCAGCTAACAAGTGATATTGAGAGTAAATGCCTCTAAAGCAGCAGCAGACATCGCTTCATGATCTTCTTACAATAGCTCCCACAGTTCCTTCCCATGCAAATTTGCTTCCCTGGAAAAATCAGCAGCAACTCGACTCTTGGCTTAAGAGTTCAGTCACCACTGAGTGTCTCAGCAAGCCCAAGCAGAACGTGGTGCAGGGACACAGCAAACACTGGTGCTGATAGAGGGAGGGAGAGGGAGAGTGTCCCTGCACAGCCCCCGTTTGCAGCAGAGCCCAGGGCTGCCAGGCCCTGCCAGCCACACACTCACCAGGTTGACGAAGTCCTGGTAGCAGATCCTGCCCTCAGAGTTGCTGTCAGCCAGGGCCAGCAGCACCTCCAGCTTGTGGGGATCGAGCTCCGAGCCGTGCCTCTGGAGGAGGGAGCGGAACTTGTCGGTGCTGATGTAGCCGGTGTTGTCAGGGTCGAACTGGGACGGGAGGGGAAAGGGCCAGAATTAACCACTCCATGTTCCACACACCTCTGCCCTCCTGTGCACTCACCAACCACTGCACACCCCCAGGGGCTGCTCCAGGCTCTGGGGACACTGCCCTGCAGTCACACAGGGGTAAGCACAGGCACCATCGTCCACACCACCATCCCATCTCCACCCAAGCTTCACCTCCGTCCTCTCCCTCTACCCTCCTTCCCTCTGCATCATCATTTCTCTTATCTGTTTTTTACATCCCTCTCTATCTGGACCATCAAGCAAACCAGAGATGCAGTCTGTGAGATAAAACATACTGAAAATGGTTTTACTCCTCTATTTCCTAACACAGTTGCACCACATGAATATGCCACCCCTCCTCAAGCCCTTTCTGTGCTCAGTGTTTCTGACCGTCACCTTTCCAGATCACCTCTCCAGATGCCATCACAATGGTAAGTGCTTTCACTGCTGAAGAGCTATTTTAAGATGTTTTGGAGGGAAAGTCTTTGGACAGGGAGCAGAGCAGATTAACATTATATCAAAGCAAAAGTGACAAGGCAGCCACGTGCCACTTGGAGAACGTAAACCAGAGTCAGTAGAAGGAAAGTGCCAGGTAAGGTCTGGAAGGATTCCTACTCTGACCAAAAACATCACTGTTTTCCCTCAGACTAAGTGGTTAATCTAAAAGTGCCACTGACTGAAAGGAGACACCTTCACAAGGCTGTGCAAAGTGAGGGCTGTTCCAGCAGGCTCAGGCCCTGAGCTGGGCACAGCCTGACAAAGCCAGTGCTGGCACCAGGCCCAGGACGGTTCTTTGGTGCTTGGCAAACGAGAGGCTGCAAGCTGCCAGGCCAGCCCTCACCAGCCCTGTGCAGTCTGATCTGCACCAGCTCCCCGTTGCTGGGAGATTTGCCTTTGATTTCCCAAACTTGGCTGTGAGGACCCTGGTGCTCAGTGGCCTCCTTTTGTAGATAATGATATCAAGCTTGTTGGCTGGATTGAATGGCTGTCAGGGGGCAGGGTGGGCAGGAGGGAGTCTTTTCATGGAAACATTTGGGACATAAAGGGGCCTTGGCAGAGCCAAAAAGGTCCTGACAATCCTTGCTCTTTCCTAATGGAGAACAAAAGCCGAGCGGGCGCCGGGCCCTGGCTCAGACACTGCCTTGGCACGGGAGGAGGTGGGAGGAGGATTTGGCAGAGGGTGCAGCCTGCCAGCAGCAGGGCTGGCACAGGGAGCACAACAGCTCTAAAACAGCCCAGTCTCATCCATGGGCAGCTTGTTTCGAGGATGCAGTGCCCACGTGTGAGGATCTGGCTCCATCTCCTCCTGGCCCCAGAACCTCCGTGCTGCTGCTCCCGGGCACTCTGCTGGGCTGAGGAGGAGATGTCTGACCCCAGCAGGGGAGATCCCAGTTCCTGGCTGGATTAGAGCTGCCTGCCCTTTGTCAAAGCAGCAGCCCCTCTGGGAGGATCCCGGGGGTTACACAAAGTGGGATTCACCAAGTGACCTGTGGGCAGGCAGAGCTGGGTGCTCTCCCCTGCTCTCTGCAAAGGTTGTCCTGTCCTTGTGAGGAGCCCTGGATGTTCCTCCCTGACAGCTGGCACTCAGAGCCAAAGGTGGATTTCATCAGCTGTTTACTGTTAAACAAGGGCTTAATAATAATCCCTGGAGAAGTTGAGCTCTGGCCCACTCTGATGCTCGGAGTTCACAGATCAAACTCTAAAACCAACCCCAGAAGTCAGGGCCTCCGACTTGGGCTCAGCTCTGTTGCTTTTTGGCTCCTGCTGGGACTCCCAAGCCAGTCTAAGTTTGCAGTGCCCAGTCCCAGGAAATAAAGGATTATTAGCATAACACCTGAGGTGACCTTTCTCAAGGGGAATTTGCAGAAGCTGGGAGATGAGTCATTCAGTGAATGGATCTAAGACCTGCAATCCCATAAACCCTGCTTCTTTGTTTCCTGAAAACATCTGACCTAACCAACATCTTACTTAACAGCACCACTTTATCTTGCCATTAAAAGTGTCAGAACCTCTCTTGCCCAGGACAAAACCATTTGCTCCTTGAAGGCGTAAATCCCTCTCTGCTTTGAGGGCCAGGGTGGGTGACTGAAGTGGTTTTCCAAAGGCACACTGAAGCCCTGTCTGGTGGCTACAGTCGAGCCCCTGCTCCAAGGATGCTTCTTTCTCATACCAGCAGGCACCACCAGCATTCCTCCCCCAGCTTCAGCTCTTGCTGCCTGTCCCACCCAAGTCAAAGCAGTGGCAGAAGGCAGCTGGTGTTTTCAGTAGTGCAAACAGCCTAGGGAGCTTGTTCTTCTCTGCCACATGATTATGTATAATTATTTGTTGGCATTATGATAATGATACCAATTAGAAATAGGTTTGAAGTAAGGCAGTGGATCTGAACAGCATGAAAAAGTAAGAGGGGAACAACAAACAACTGACATCCGAAATAAAAGGCCTCAGAGCAGGGCCAGAGCACGTCTTCCACCGCCTGGAGCAGAACGTTCTGCTCAGACCCACCTGCAAGGGAGCTCTCCTATTTATGTCTAAACAACTTTTTAATCATACAACAATTCTTTTAGGATATAAAAATCTCATCTGTCACCACAGAACTCAAAATCCACAACACCGCTTTAAACTGCCTCGAACCCTGTTCCTGATGTCACAGCTGGCCACAAAAATGAAGGGGCTGAGCTGCTCCTGTGGATCCTGTGTGCCCACACTCAGCAAATCACCAACGTGCTGAGTTGGAAGGGACCCACAAGGATCACTGAGTCCAACTGCTGGCCCTGCACAGGACCATCCCCAACAGTCACACCACGTGCCTGAGAGCACTGTGCAAATATTTTTGAACTGGCTTCCCCTCCAGACCCTTCCCCATCCTCATTGCCCTCTCTGGACACTCTCCAATGCCCTTTTTGTGTTGTGGTGCCCAAAGCTGCCCGCAGTGAGCAGCGGGCACTCAAGGTGAGGCTGCAGCGGTGCAAGAACACAGGACACTACACTCAAAGCCCTCGGGTCCAGCAGGTATAAAAGAGGCAGAACTGACCTTCACAAGGCGTTTCACGTGTCTGTCCATGAGGGTGTTGTTGCTGTCCCACCAGCCCAGCCCGGCACTCCGTGTGCCCCGGGGCCAGGAGGCAGTGCTGGGGGGCAGGAGGGGGCTGTGCCCAGCGGCCCCAGCCCCACGGGGAGCGCTCCCCGGGCACGGCTCCCACGGCACAGGCACACGGAGCTGTCCTCCCGCGCGGTCCCTCTTGCCCGTGCCCGTCCACCGGGGCACACGGAGCATCCCAACTCGCAGGGATGAGGAAGGCCCTTTGCCCCCCCTCGTCCCCCCGGACAATGGGACACTAACGGCAATTTCATGCAAGGTTTGCTCCGCATTTCAATGACAATCACCCTTAACTCCCCTGATCCTCAACCAGGCTCTTAAGCAAAAATGTAAATATGTTAATGACCGTAGCAGCCATCTGACCCAGGGTCTTAATTCCCTCGCTCAAAACAAGCTGTTTTTCTCCCGTTTCTTCCTTATGTTAGAGCAATGCACCGCAAACTAAAGGCCCCACAGCAAAACCACAAGACAAAAATAAGGGGAGGGGGCATGGCAAAATCTGATGAAAAGAGGACATTTGGTTGAGAAAAGAAAATGAAATCTCAAATTGTTCCTCCTCTTTAATTAAAGATACATCAGACACGGCTGAGTGAGCAAGTAGGGTGGAGGCTGGTGCTGTAGACAGACAATGGGTATCTTGGGAAAACTCAGACACTGCACAGAGCACAGCCAGCTGCTCCTCTCCCCATGGCAAACACCCCCGGGGGCATCCGAGCAGCTGGAGAGCCAACAGCTGAGCTGGGCACAACAGGAGCACTCTTGGGTGTGCACAGGGATCACACCGGGGCACGGATTTTGTCCCTGCAGCAGCATCTCTGAGTTCTCCCCATGTCACTTGACTTCCACGTGTGTGCTTCCACTGGGCACACACCTTCCTTTTCTACCTTATTTCCCAGAGAAGACCCCTGCTCTGCCAAGCCACCTTCTGCCTCTCCTGCTTGACTCCTGACACTGGGGAAGTGCTGCTGCCCTGCCCTTAGGAGGTGATGTCTGAAAAGGGACCAGCACTCATGGACACCAGCACTGGCAAAAACATTTTTCCAGGGAACCTTACTCACTAATTCCCTGAGCAGCCTGAAGGATCCAGTCTGGGTTTTCCCCCATTCTGGATTCCAGGTCTCATTCAGCCCAGGTTTTCCCAGCACTCAGAAGCAGAGTCTGTTTGTTTAAAAAAACCAAACCAAACCAACCTAACCCAAAATGTGGCAAGAGTACACGTAGCATTTGCTGCTTTGATGAAGATTAAAGGAATGACAAGGTAGAAGATGAAAGTTTGCCTCATAATCCACATGAGAGGGCAAAAAGCAGGGGCTGTTTTAGCGGGAGCTTCATCACTGCCTGGTGGTGATGATCTTCCAGGCAGCTCAATGATCCTGTTCTCTATCAACAGTGGGAGGTGCAGGTGAGAGGATAAAACCCTGACCCAGCAGAGGAAGGCCAGTCAAAGGTTAAGTGCCTTCCAATGCACACTGAAATCCAGCTGCTCACCTCATCTGAGCTGCCTGAACACGTGTGGTGGAACATCAGCGCTCTGGTGACGCAGCCTCGCCTCCCCTGTAAATAATGAATTTACTCACCACTGCCCAGACTACAGAAAGTGATTAAGGGCTGCCCTGCAGTACTTTTAGGGCACGTTGGATTGCTCTGACCTGAAGTGACCCCGGGGGCTGGAAGCACCCCCAGCTCTCAAAAGCCAGATTGCATTTACGCACAGGGGATGTTCCCTGACCCAGCAGGGCTCCCAGGCACACCTGCTCCCTGGGAAGCTGCAGTGGCAGAGCAGGAGCTCCCCAGCTCAGCACTCATCCCAGAGCAGATGGGCTGTCACCTGGATTTGGGTGAGTGTCTCATGCAGCACGTGGCAAAGTGGAGATGGAGGGAGCTG